CTCTCTGTACTCCTTTGTGGATGTGCAGGTGAGCTTTTATCACATAATTTAATCTGAACAAGCTATTTTGCACAACAATAACATCACAGTAGTGGTCTCATATTGCTCTGTGCTAGCTATGTTGGCTTGCAGCATCTCAGCTACCTCAGCCAGCTGGGGGTGCGTATTTCTGAACCCCATTCCATCATGCCGTGCAATACAAGTTGTAAGCGGCCCACGCAAGCACACACAGACATGCTACCATTGTTGTCTGGACAATTATTTGAAGCTCTTGCATGTTTGGAGGTGCAGAGTCGCACTGCTGCACGAAGGTTAGTCTCTTTCTTCTGAATCAAAGAAAATTCACTCAATAGCCAATGTGACTATTAAGCAGGTATCCTTTATTGCAGCGCTGGGAGTCGCACCGGGATATTTCCACGAACGTGCGTCTCGACGAGAAACAAATTGTTCGTGATTTATATTACAAAAGAGTTTACATATTCATTAGGTTTCTGATACATTTAATACATATTCATTATTATTCCGGGAACTCCTGAATATATGCTAATGTCCTGATACGCCTGCGCAGTTTCTTTCTCAGGTGGTCGTCAGGGGTCGTCCTCCTCAAATCTTCCTCTTTCTCCTCTTCTTCAGTGTACAGAGTTGGGTGACCTCTTCTTCATTATCCCCGTTTTGCAAGCTCAGCAACCTTGTTATCCATCCTGCCCAGATGGTCCCAGGCTTGTTGGCATGTTGGGCCTCCCTTTATCAGGTTGCCTCAAACTTTGTGTCTTTTCTAGTTCATACCCAAGGACTATTCCCTAATTTACGGCTTCTTTTATCCTGCTTCTGCATTCCAACTATTTTATTAATTGTTTTCTTTTGTACTGGAGCATGAGACAGGCGAAGCCTGAGTTTGTGGGGCCTGACTCAAGTATTGCCAAGTTTTTTTTTTTTTTTTTTTAAATTGTTATACGCTAATTAGATTCCCCTATTCACTTCTTTGAAAGTTTTGTTTTTTCATGGTTGGTTTCAGTCTTCCTGCTAGAACCAAGTTCTTTATTAAACTGATTCTTTTATAGATCTCAGGCAGAGTCTTATCTAAGTATAGATGTGGCCCTTTAAGCTTGTAGCTGATCTTTTCCCAAAAGATAATGTGCTGCAACATAGACATTTTACCTACTGCTTGCTCTTTGTCATGAAGGTGTATTTCACTATGCTTGGTTATAACCAGAACTGACATTTAATTTTTTTTTGCAGACTTGGAAGGGGGTAGTGCATGATAATAGTGTCTTTGGTCTTTATAATGGTGTGTTCACCATTTTAAGCATTGTAATATTCACTTTGAAACCTATGTGCTTATGAGATGAGGTAACAGTGGAGAGCTTTGCCCAGGCAATGCTGGTTTTATTCTCTCCTTCAATAAATGACAGTGTTAGAAATGGCAGCAATACAACATCTCATTATACTTTATTGAACTAAAAAGCGATATTTTCAGAAGAATGTTTTGTGAACTAACAAGTATTACAAGGTATTTTCTGAAGGAGCAGAACTAGTTAACATGATTAATACTGAAGCAGTGTGCATATGGACATATGTCAGTGTGAACTGTTTAACTTCACCTTTGCTTTAGGGTTCATTTCAAACAAAGTAGGATTTTGTGTTAAAAAAAAAAAAACAAAAACAAAAACAAAACTGAAAACAAACACAAAACCCAACAACTGTGTTTTGAACATTTCTTTCACTTAGTATTTTATTCCATCAAACAAAGGAAAAAGGTCTCCATATTATCTTTGACAGTCTTCTGTCACAATAGTCCAAAACTCTTTTGGAGATTTATTGATGTAACTTTACAATACTTAAAGCCAGTAGTAGAAAATACAGCAGTGTTTTAAGATGAGCAAATAGGATTGCTTTAGTTAGCATTCAGCAAGTGTTCTTTTCTAACAGGGAATATGGCAGAATTGCAGTACTGGGAGAACAAGTCTTGTGTTCATCACTGAAAGTAATGGGTCATTGAACTCCTTCATTAATCTGCCCCTCTGGTGTCTATACATTATAAAAATTCAAGCATGTTGCAGATTGCCTGCCTACCATACAACTAGAATGTGAAAGATTTACAGGGTAAATTACTATTGACATACACCAGGTCACTGAGACTGCAGAATTGCTGTATTCAGCTTACTGCAAATTCAGCTTTGCCTTTTCATGTCTTCAATCTTCCTGAGGCTAAAGTTCTTTACAAGGACAATGGTTTGTGTTTTGGATTAATCAGAAGCCTCAGTCATTTGAAAGGTCATGTAGGTAAGGAACAGCAAAATCTTTTTTAAATGGCCTGTGTGGGGGCTTTTGTGAAGTATTGTGGGAATCAAAATCTGCAGAAGCCATTAGTGGAAATGTATGTCTAAAACATACCAGTGATAAGCCTATTATATTCTTTGAATCCAAGCTCCTACTAATGTGGGGTTGACTGGGGATACATTTGGCTGACTTTCACAGTCAGACAATTACATCTTGCACTACAGAGTCTTTTGCAAAACATTTTTTTGAATTGTTATTGAAGACAAAATCTCTTGTTGCTTAAAATATTCTTTATAACTAGAAGACGAGACATAAGCAAACCAGACAAAAAAGTCTAAGAATAAAATAAGGTTTTTTGGTAGTGAGAAGCATTTGAATGCACAGGCTCATAGTTCATAGAACAAAAAATCATATCTGGCTGCAGTAAAATGAAGGAGGATACATTCTTAACCAAAGAAACTCACATAAGGCTCTGGAGCGAGGGTCTGCAAAATAGGGCCGAATCTTTTGGTGTGATGATATTTCTCCAGGTTGTATTTCTTTGTTCATTAATTTCTTATATTTCACCTTTGCAGAATATATTACTAATTCCTTCTGTAAAGCTTAATATTTTACTGTATATATTGCTTTTGAAACATCTTCAATTTCCTGGTGACATAAGGGGAACAAATTGACCCCCAACTCATAACTGTTCAAATCTAAGTTCTTCTAGAGTCCTTAATGGACTAACATCCTCTGATGTTTGAGCTACTAGTATTTGCAAAGTTGCTATGGTGACAAATGTAGTTCTAGTTTAAAAAAAAAAAAAAAAAATCTATTTATCCTAACCACAAATTTCAGAAGAACTCAGCATTGTTCCAAAAGAACATTTCTACCAAATGCATGGTGGTCTTTTTCTCTGAACAGTTGCATCTTTAGTAAAATGTAAGTGTACAGGGAAGTTTGACCTCTACTTTGGTCACAGTAACTTGTGATTGCATACTCTAATTACTATAAAATAGATGTAAAATAGCACAGTGTCCATTTCTTGAAGGAAAGATCAGAACAGGCCCAAGGGAACAATCTGCAGCACAAAATCCCTGGGGCTTGCTTCAGGTTCTTTTTGGTCATTCTGATGAAGTAAAACAACCCTAAAGGCAATGTGATCCTTCCCCTTAAATTCCTCTCGCCAGCACAGTAAACCCATCACACATAGCTTAAAGGAGCTTTGACTCATGAAGGGGGCGTTTGGGCCTGCAGGCCTTGGACCCAGGGTTACAAAGACAGCTGTAGTGGATTTTGCCCATGTCCATCCCTCTGGTCTTGCAATCAGCAAAACTAGCTGGGGAGATTTGATCCATTTTCTGTCTTTTGCCAGAAATGGTTGTTGGGACACATCATGGTCTTTTTTCTGCATGAAGCATTTTGCAGATAGGGATCTAAATATGTAGACATAACGGCTGTATCATGAGAAGGGGTTACTAGTGAACTTAGCATCCACGCAGACCAGCTTTGAAAACACTTAAGTGACAGATTTTTGAAGCTTTTCTTCATCTTTCACAGAGACTTAGGACCCTGATACACAACAGGATTCCCTTCCACAGTGCCCTCTTCTAAATGCGTAGTTAAGCAGGTTAGTTTGTATTCCTGTGCAGTTTTCGTAAGCACTCTGTGTTGTCCAAGGGGAGAGAGAGAGGGAGATGCTCTACATCTTTTTCTTTCTTCATTGATCATATAGGGGCAGAAGAGATATTAATATCCTACCAAGCACTTGGCTCAGAGCCTAAAGCCAGACATAATCATAAGCCCAAAACAAAGGGTAAGTATTTAGAGAAAGCTTGCTGCACCCTGCATTACCTTCACGGGCAGGTCCTGCTATCAGTTAGAAGGTGAAATCATCACTCCTGGCTGAGCCTGGAGCCAGGACATGGAGCTTTTCTCCCTGCAGAGCAGGTATGAGTATCAGCAGAGTGGTGGTAGTCATCGACAGAAAGGTGCTATGAGTGCTCTCGTACATTGTCCATTAGCTGGATCACATTCAAATTGCAGAAGAGAACTTTATAGGTTAAGCTGTTTCACCACCAACACTCAAGGTCCCATGATGTTTCAAGGCCTCAGATACTCCAATTCAGCTGTAGTCATGGTTAGGGCTTGTATAATTTAAATGGAAGGTAAATTAAAGTTCAAACTCAACCCCTGTCCCAGTGTAATGTAAACTTTGCTGTCATCCTGGTAGGTCAAAGACCTATACTGGAACGTGCTGGAGAGAAACAACAGAAGAAAGAAGGAAGAAGGAAGACAGACCGGCTTTGAAGTTTTGCTGATACACTTAGATCCTGATTTTAAAAAGTGAAAGATAAGAAATTAATAAGCTGTTGATTTGGTTGCAAAGCTCTGGCTTTAGGTGATAAGGTTTGCATTAAAATGTGAAAGTACTTTTTTAATTGTGTAGGAGAAAGTGTCACTGCTTCTTTCTAAAAATATAGGAAGAATGTTCATGGCAGGAGAAAATATTGAAAGACTGTCTTGTTTCAACAAGCAAAAGTAAAACCTGTGTTGATGTAATAATAATTCCTGACAGATAATCCTTAGCTTATTTGAAATCCAGAATTAAACAGAATCATGTTACCCTAGATGTCAAAATCAGTATTGTCTTTTTTGTTTTGTTACAATTCTGTTTGAAATTGAGTTAAGGGGAATTTGCTTTGCTTTGACTTCTCTCTCTCTCTCTCTTTTCTAAGGTCAACTCAAATCAAAACATACTCTTGGGATAATGCCCAGGTTATTCTGGTCGGTAACAAATGTGACATGGAGGATGAACGGGTAATCTTCACCGAGAGAGGGAAACATTTAGCAGAGCAACTTGGTAAGAAAAGAAACTACAAACACTTTATGACTACATGTGAGAATGCACATAATAATGTCATTAATTGCTACAGTGCTTGTAATTAAATCTTTGCAGTACCTTCACTGTAATAGAATAGTCATACAATACCTGCCTTTTGTTTCTGCAGGCTGAGGTCTGAACTGTCCTTCTTGATATCACTAATACTGTAACATCATTAGAATCGACATGTGTCCAGGGATGACCATATGCAGAGCTGTGATATGTCTGTTGTCTAAAAGTGTCCACAAGACTAGTGCTGGCTCAGAGGCTGGCTTAGGCTAAAGACATATCTGATAAAACCTTCCTTATGCTGCTCTTTAGATAGGAAGTACATTGCTGGTTTTGTGATAAGCAGCAAGATTAGGTGTATGTCTGTATATATATACACAATATGTTTAGGTAGTTATAGCTATAGGCAGGTGCGTCCTAGCCAAAGAAAAATTAAAAAAAACAAAACAACAAACTAACCAAAAAAGTCAGGAGAGGGGAGACTGAAGAAACCGCTTACTCAAAATGTGACCTAGACCTTTTTGCAAGTTGAGAACATTTGGGTTATGATTTCCAATACCAATAATCCAAACCAGGAATATGCCAATATCCAACTCCCACTGCTAAGAGTTCACTTACTGCACATTTACACATGTGTAAATAACATGAACCTCTATTTCATGAAGTCTCCTTCTAGGAGGCAAATGTTGTCCACACAGAAAATTACAGAGCTGTAAACATCTCTGTTCTTTCTGTTTCTGCCCAGCAGTGATATGCTTTCATACCATGAAATGTTTTTGAGGTGACACTGGCCAAGCTGTAATGGAAAAATCTCTAGAGCATCATCATACTACTACTACCCAGCCTGTTTTTTCCTTCAAATTTGTTGATCTCTGGAGAGCACTCTCAGCAGGTGTGCAGATCAAACCCTGGCATCACTGGAGGTCAATTTCTGTGCTGTGCTGGGCATGGGTTTGTTATTATTTTTAAAACTGACTGTGATAAAGGCTCAGTCTGGTGAACATGTGTAGAACTAAGATCTCCTTGTCACTATTGCTATATAGGTGTTTAGGGGAAAGGGTGTTATAAAAGTAACAGCATGGGAAATAGAGATAGACGGTGGCATTTCACATTATACCACCTGTGCTGGATCTAATCCCATGCTGGTGGTTCTTATGTATATTCATAGCTTGCTGACCTTATTTTTTTAAAATAATTTTTCTAGTTGTACAATTGCTTGTCCTGGTAAGTAATTTCATCAGAATAACATATCTTCCTATCACATCTGTCTAAATAAGCATTACATATGTGTAAAAGCACACCTCAAAAGTGTACATTAAAAATAACCATAAATTAGTCCTTGAAAGGTGACAGAAAAGATTTAACAGCAAGTTATGTCCAGAAAAATTGCCAACATTTGTGAAGAACTGAGTTTCTAAAAGTGTTTGCCACAAAACAAAAATGGCTACCGTTGCACCTGCTTTAACAGAGGATATTTTTCTTTCCAGAAATACCTGTCACATTATATATATTTCTATAATCTGTTCTTCCCTCTGTAAGCATTTCTAATATTTATGCATTTGAATCAGACCTAGGAAAGTGTATTCAATGTAGAAAGAGATTGAAAAAATGTAGGTGTATACTTTTACCTCAAATTTAGACCAGGCACTAAAATGCCTGGCAATAAATAAAAATTTGCAATGTAGAGTTTGAAGGGTTTTTTTTTGTTAGTGGCATAACTAATCTGAATTTCTATTCCTCAAACTATTTTTCTATAGAAAGATTAATTCAGGGAATTGACAAGGCATCCCCAAGGTCATAAATTTAGCAAGATGAGAAGGAACTTTGCATGTTGTACAGTCAAGAATCCTCAGCTGTAATAACCAATGCTTGCAAAAAAAAAAAAAAAAAAAAAAGAATAATGAGATAGATATCAAAACTCATGTCTCAAGCTTTCAAGCAATCTCTGACTCCTGGGATTTAGAATTCAATCTTTATGGAAGCTGATTATCCTCTATTCCCAGCTCTATCTACTCTGGGATTTTCCTTTCTCAGATATACGTCCCGTGGCTATCTCAAGGGCAGATTATTGTATTGGATAAATTGTGGCTCTGATCCAGTCTGTCATTTACTGTACTCAGACTGCACACACAAATGTTTATATACAATAATTTCTTAAATCTGCTCAGAGATTGTGGGAGGTGGTGTCAGGAAAAGCAGAATGAGTTTCCCTGAAGTGCTCTGGCTATGTGGACCAGTTTGAAGGGCACAAGTTGTGTCAAACACTTGGGACTGTCTTTTCTTTCTCTGTGGGCAAGTTTTAAATATAACAATATTGATTTTTGTGTTCAGCAAGACATTTTAAGACTGTGGGTCCTTTGAATGCCATGGTCTGCAACATTCATTACAGCCACAATTACAAGAAAGCACAACACGAGTCCTGTACAAAGAACACATTGTGAAACACTCTGTTCTCAAGTGTGCTTTTACTTTCAGCCCTGGTTTATTTGAAGTCACTGAGAAAATGAATACATTTTGGTCTGAGTTTTCAAAAGGTCAAAAAGACCACTGGGCATTTAGCTCTCCAGGAAAAACAGTTTCCTGTTGAAAATGGCATTATCGGAAAATCATGCCTCTTTTGTGGCTGCTGACCTCTTTGAAAAGTGTAGCCTTCAATTTTATTAACGAGGGGTGATCAATCATTTCTTCATGCTGGCTTATTTCTCAAATATAACCCAACAAGTGGTTTGGGTCAACCATCAATAGGCCTTGTTACCTGTGAAGGTCTGGTTAAAGGAGTCAAGTATCCTGTGGTAGCTCTGAGTACCTCTCTCATAACACTAACAGAAGTTCACAAAAGAGAGAAGGAATGGTTAAGAAAACCAGATCTGAGCTTGAAGGGAAATTAACAGAGTGTTTATGAAGACAGACTTAATCTCATTTCCATTTTGGATATTTTTAAAGTTTGTTGTTAGTAACATAGAGCATGACACTAGCGATACCACCACAGATCACAGCTGCAGGCAGCGTACTACCTTACCTACGGTAATGGCCAGAAGTAGGTGCCTTGCGAAAGGTATAAAAGGGCAAATATACAGTGATGCTTTCCCAGGCTGTGACAAATTATTTTTGTGGGTCTCATGAACCAAAGGCAGTATCTTTATATTCAATAGCCTTTCCAGGATTTTTTTCCATGGACTTGTCCAATGATGTCTTTGAAACCGTACAAAATCTTACCATCTGCAACATCCTTTAAATATGTGCAGTTAATCTGAGTTATGCACTTCTGCTTTGAATCATCCACTTGCTAGTTTTATCTGGTGTTTCTTCACTTATATTCTGAGAATCAGTAAACAATTGTTTGCTGTTACTTGCTCTGCAGCACCATTGGTTTCAGAGACCTCTATCATACCCCTCCTTTTTTCTCCAGGCTGAAATTCCCAGACTGTTTTATCGTTCCAGACACAAAGACCATCTCACACCTTAGAGATTCCTTGTCACTCTATTCAGTACTTTTTGTAAGTGGTACATCCTTTTTCAGAAATTAGTTCATGGTTGTTTAACATATTAGTTTTATTAAAAGCGTAATGTTAGAATGAGGTGAAAACAGACAGGATCAAACAAATTCAGCTGAGTCGTGTAACTTTACCTCACAGAGATATTCATACTGAGAAAATATAGAAACATGACTAACCAGCCAGTAGAGAGAATCAATTAACGTAATGTTAATATTGACATGGGAATCACAACAAAAACATTTAAACAAGTTCATTCATTAATCACTACCAGAAAAAGGGTGTAGAACATAATGCTTATGCTATTTTCTCTCTTCGTGAATGTTTGGTCTGAGCACTACATGCATTGGCTATAGAGTGAAACCCCAATATAGTCAGGTTATTTACATGCTGTGGTGGGTTGAC